AGGACTATGTCCTAGTTTTGGCCCCGGCTGAACAGCATTGAGACCTAGCTAGGATTGTAGAGCATAAAAAAAGGATTAAAAAGGTTCATATGCACAACTTTGTAAAATAAGTCCTTTGAGTGCTATAGCTGTTCAAAGTTCGCTATTATGACCATGTATTGTGTATCATGTAGGACTGATTTTGTTTGATTTCTTGGATCATCTAGTATCTGTAACATATCCAATCTTGATGAAAACAACTAAACCTTTTTTGGACCCCAAATGAATAGTTATAAGTAATATATATATTAATCGATGAAGAGGGGAGAGAGACACTCGAAGTATGAAACAAAAGGTTTTAATTGATTTGACAAAGAGGTTGCGGTTCAGTATTTTTAACTGTAACGTTTCCTTCTCTCGTTTCAGTATCATATATATTTAAATGTGTTGAGTAGGGCTCTTGTGGAACTACTAGGCTCTTGTTTCAAGAAATCTAGCACTTCCCCAGCCAACAGATGTTTACACGTCTGGTTTTTTAAATATTTTCCACATTGCCCACAGTAGATCTCATTGCAACCAGTAGCTACTTCGGGGTGAGTCCGTATCAAAGGCTGATTTACCCTGATTGGTACATTCGCCGCTTGTCCATCTTCCCCCCCCAGGGCGAACTCCAGGGGCATCGCCGTCATTACAAGCAAATCCAAATTTCTGTGACATGACGGCATGAATCATAACCAGGAACTTAGCCGAATTAATAAACTCTGTACCAAATACATTTTAGATATTACTTCAATGTCTTTGGTACAATCCGTTATCGCCGTCACCACGGGGAGGTGCCCTGGATGCAGAGAAATTGGATAAGACTAGTGGTACATGGTCATAATAGCGAACTTTGGATAGTTCTAGCACTCAGGAAACCTCTCCTATAAAGTTGGGCTTATGGAATTTTTTATTCTCTTTTGATACCTCAAAATTTTAGGCATATGTCAAAGTTGTTCATCTGGGGCCCAAATTTCCCTGTACAACTGGGTATATATATCCTTTTGGAATTGATGTATACTATATAATGTATCTACTTCCAAGGGGAAGCTTTGAAGATGATATGAATTATTTAGATCCACTTCGTATACTTTTACTTATAAAGAAATTTAAGGAACGTTTAGATATCACCTCGTATTTCATGTAATACTATAATACAAACTTATATATATTGATAACAAATTTCCATTAATTATTTCTGGTAAAAAAATTTTGCTGAAATTATTCCATGTTATGGAACATTTCAATGAAATTACTGAAAATTTGCTGAATATTCAATGAAATTAAACTAAAATTTTTCTGAAATGCTGAAAATTTGCTGAAAAATGTTAATGTAAAATAATTTCAGCGAGAGTTTTCCACCAAGGTAATACTTTGTAAAAAAATACCTTGTTTGAATTACCCAAATCGACATTCATATATTAATTCAGATTCACATGCAGAATCTTGAAATTTTCAGTATCACTTACGATAAAAATATTGCGTTTCTGTGATCAGATTTTCTTTGTCTTAATTGATAGATAAGATGAGGAGTGATAATCTGCACTTGATATTACGAACGAAAAGACGAGATCAGTGCCCGAGTTACCATTGTGGAAATAAGCTGGACGGCGCAGAATTGATGAAAATGAGCACTTCGAGTATAACAAGGAGAAAAAATTCCGAAAACGAGATCCGAGGTAACACATTTTTAAACAACTATTTATCATTTCTTCATCTTTCCATCGCGTGCATATATAAAAAAAAGTCCTTTATATTGCTTCAGATTAAGATCGACGTTGCTCTTATTGTAATACCTTTACATTATTCCGTTCATTTCTTCCTCGGTCTTTTGTGATTTGACTTTCTCTCACACACTGACTGTTGATTGATTATGCAACCCAACATATACTGAAATGAGAGCGCTTTCCTCTAATAAACTTCTGTTAATCATATTATTCTATTCTTTCTCGAATAATAAAAATAAATATTTAATAGATAATAAAATAAATATTAAGCTTTAGCAGTTGTCATCGTTTTACATATCGATTTGATACAAGTTGATTCATTACTATTTTAATTATATTATTTCTGAAAGTCTCATTTGTACATATATAATATCCGTGAAAGTAAACGTTAGGTAGTTTAGCGATTTAATAACAATTGTTTTATAAACAGAAGTGTTGCTATTTTATTTAAATAAACGGCTTACGAAAATAACAGATAAGTAATAATAAGATAATTCAAAATATTAATAAAAATTAAGTATATTACAACAGACAATGCTATGCAAACATTTTATTATTGATATAATTACTTTAAATAAAATATTAAACTTTAATCCAAACATTAAGCCGTTTAAGAATGAAAGACAACAGCATAGTCGATAGTAGGCAATAGGAAATTATAAAAATTTTAAGATTAGTAATAGTAAATAATTCTTTTATCTCTTTTCAAAGAATTCGAGTACATGCATCCGCCAATACGGCCGACGGTAATTACTAAACTTATTTGTGATCATAATCTTATGTCTCTTTTGACAACGTCATTTATCTACGATAAATTGTAATTTGTACAAGAAGTATGATAAGAAATTATCGACTAATGAATAGAAGTAAAAAAATGACATAAACAATAATATCATTGCATTTATCGCGCATATTATTCGATATATCGCAGTAAATGTATTCTTGATTAATAAATTCAATAATTAGGAGTTTAATTGTCGTAGCTATGTATTTAATGATTCTTTTATTGGCTTGGTACATAATTGGACCATGACCCAATTTAAACAGTCAAATTGTCGCTATGAATATTGATAATCGACGTAAATGGTCGCCAATTTATTGCTGCACTATAAATAGATTAAAATAGGCTATACTGATTTGATTTTTAGTATAAACAATTAATGTAATAAGTTACTTAATTTATACTGAATGTAAAGTAATCATAAATGAAGACATTGTAATGAAAAGCAATTCTCAGCATTATTGAGCTTTGCCAACTTTATCTTGATCTTCTTACAGCAGCTATCTCAGGCCCCAATGATGTAATATTTTGTTGGCTTCTTAAATATTTACATTACATGTTTCAGATCACCCGGATAATCAAAACAATGTCGAAGAGCAAGAAGAGGTGAGATCCTATATAATTCCTAATAGATAATTTTAGTAGATCAGTATTTAAATCGTAAATATTCATGAAACATTATACAGGTCTACACAATTTGTAGTATATTTAGATAAATATTTAAATGAGTTTTTAGATAGATAAATAGATAAGATATAAAGATCACCGCAATTATTTGTGTTTCGTAACTTTGTCTAATAATTTTGTTTATCTGGTTTCGGTGCGATAAGCATCTATGAAAAATTTACATAAACATACTTGGATTACTTTCGCTCAATGTTACCACGAGGTCAGAAAATTATTATTATTATTATTACAGCGTATTTAAGCGTGTATAACGCGTTATATAATTTGATGATAATACAGGGCTCATATACAGGGTGTTTGGAAAATAATGATAAATATTTCACATAGGAACAGAATGGACTAAACTAAGAAGAAAAGTCCTGTACCATTTTGTAATTTTCGCAATAGTTAACAAGATATTAATTGTTAAAAATTGTCGAAAATTGGTCTTCAATAATTTTTTACTCAAATACTATCAACTTTACAGAAAAACTGCAAGAGACGAAAATTGTTTATTTTCTTCTCATAAAGTTCTAAGAATTTTTTAAATACTTTGATAATTATTTAGAATTTTTTCAGAATTTTTTAATACCGTATTTCCTCATGTTAATAAAAATGAGAAAATTCAGTACTAAAAAGTTAATAAAAAATTCTGAAAAAATTCGTAGAATTCTATGAGAAGAAAATAAACAATTTTCGTCTCTTGCAGTTTTTCTGTAAAGTTGGTAGTATTTGAATAAAAAATTATTGAAGACCAATTTTTTCGGCAATTAATATCTTGTTAACTATTGCGAAAATTGCAAAATGATAGAGAATTTTTCTTCTCAGTTTAGTCCATTCTGCCCCTGTGCAAAAGATTTATCACTGTTTTTCGAACACCCTGTATTTCCACACGTACATTAAAGTTAATGTTGTTTGACGAGAAGGAAAAAAAAGGGAACGTAAGATTCTGGAATCATTTGACGAAACAATCTTTCCGCGTATTTCGATATTGCAAAATTATCAGATAAACGTCCCGCATCGAATTTATATTCACGTATCATCGACCACGTTTTTATTGAGCAACTTCTCTCTCTGTTTTCTTCGTGGTACCTGTAGTCGCAATCCTATTTCGCTTTGCGAAAGATTCTGCAATATACATGATGATATTCCAATTTGAGATGAAAGTTTGCACGAAAGTTTTAACGGCAGATTTTATAACGAACTTTATGAATCTTAGATTAAAAAGATCTCGATAGCTTAATGAATTTTTTTTCTTTTAAATCACTTTAACAATCGGGATTAAAGCGATTTTTATTTTTGTACAATCATATTTATCTTTCAATGCTTATCTCTTGCTAAATAAAAGAAAAGATCAGAACAATTAATTGTAACAATTAATCATAATCATTCTACTGCGAATCATTCTACTATAGATAATATATAGATATAAAAGAAGTAGTATATACGTGTACATGCATGTAATACGTTACTTTACTGGGAGAGACTCTGACAATTAAATCGACGGATGTACTGCGGTTCTTTTAATTACACTCATATAGCGCATGTTTCGATAACCGCACACTATAAAACTGTATGTATACATTCCTCTGACTTTTCCGCAAATACTCATATTTATATCAACAAGGTCAGCAGCATAAGTCATAAGGTTTCCAATATTAATATCGCGACACTTCCTTTGATAGTAATAAACGCGTTTTGTTGCACGGGATTACAATTGACATATAAATATTCATTAGATCTGAGAAGGTGAATCAATTATTCTTAAAAGTCATGATGTCATATCTTTCTTATTTTTATATTCTACATTAATTATATTGTATATGTAATGCAATGACGTCTAGCGTCTTTCAGTCGCGAACTCGTAATCTCTCGAGATAAATTCAGCATAATCGGAAACTGTCACAGCGCATATCTGAGCCACTTGCAAAAATGAACGGTAGGTCGCACGTGGACCTGTATGTGACCACGTACTTTCACATTCAAATACTATACTACACTGTCCTGCGCTCGCATCACGACGTAATGCCCGCCTGTCACCTGTAGTATGCCTGCTTTGAGATATACTGTTCCTACATGGTTGTACCTACCTACCTACTTACTCTGGCAACAATATTGTGCTCACTCATGGTCGCTGATGTCAGTCTCGATGTTGGAGCGCGTGCGAACGGAGCCGTTAAAATCGACGACGACGAGTGATCGTTCCGTTGTCACTCCTCGATCTGAACGATCCGGAGTAGACAAATGTTGTACATCGGGCAAAACATCCACCTGATGAAGTGAAGCGACCTCGTGGTAGTGATTGATATTGATATTCATCAGCTTCCTTTTTTTTTTCTCTCAGTCGTGGTCAAATTTGTGGTTTACTACGCATATGATGAATAAAATGCCTGTGCGTCAGGTAACTGTTAACATTAATATGTACTTACAATTATTAGTTACTATCACTTTTTGTTGTATGTAAGTAGGTAGTTTAGTATAATTTAGCTTACATTAAGCGTATCTTTTTGAAGGACAGATTAGAAACCGCATTCCCGCTATCTTGAAGGAATACTGAAAAAATATTTCAGAATTTTGTAAAATACACTAAATATTGAGAGAAAAGAGGCGAAATCTTTCTTGCGGATTTTCAAAAACGCATTGCTTCCGTTTGTTTATCCTTTCTCAAAAATATAATACGAATTTGTATTATATTGTATTCCGACTTCTCAATCCTTTAATAAAAGTAGGTCAAGTCAGATTGTTTGATCTTCGTAGATACATATATTCAAATTCATATAGAAACTAATGTGATCTGTAAAATATTTTGTAAACGCTTTGCCTCATATCCTTTTCTTGTACATTTTTACTGATACTCTGCAAAGAAAAATGTGTACTGCAATTTACATAAGCTCAAATTATCACAATAGTGACACGAATAGGTTTGGAGAATAAATCGGTTTTTCAATTGAGCGCTGGTTCATTGATTCACTTCCATTCACGTCAGCATGCCAGACTAATTCCCTTCATCACGGTCGCGACTACTGTACTTTCTCTGAGACACAAGTTTTTCATCAAATTCATTTCGATCGTCGTGCGACAATCTCAATCCGGATACCGCGAGATTTCCGTATATAATCAATATTAGAATATGTTTAATATTACCATTTATCTGAAATTAGATAATTCTTTCGTTTCTTGCATACATACATCATTACGAAATTAATTGTTTACTGACAAGGCATGCCAAGCATTACCGAGATAGATAGGATTCGGAGCGATTGTTGGGAGGAAAGTATAAATATTGTAGATAATAATATCTCTATAATCGCGCGTTTTGTCATATTCGTACGTACTACGTAATTAATTGTTACAAAAGAGAACGCATTATCTGAGTTTGTAAATATTCTATGCATTTTTATCTGTTTGCATTCGTGCAATAACATCATAGAACGTCTCGGAAACGCTAAACCTCTTTATCATTCGAAAATTTTTATTTATATTTACAGCATCTAAACGCGATAATAACACATTAAATTTTATTTTAAAATTGTGTTAAATGTTAAATTAATTAAAAACATTATTATCAAAGTTATGATATACATCCTAGATAGCACAAAATGTTTATAAAATATTTATTGTAAATCTTGTAGTAAATACTATGTAAATACTTAATAAGACAGTATAATTCAAATAAAAAATACTTAACAGAAATATTTATTTATATTTATCATAAATATTAAATTAAATATTTAGTATATCTTTTAATAATATTTTGAATAAAACTTTATATAAAATAT